CTCGGCTTTGCGGCGTGCCTGAGCATGCAGTGCATTGCGGGGGGCCTGTACGGCGGCGGTGTCCCATGCGTTTCATGGGATCGCCCGTTTCCCGCGCCTGTTTGAGAAGCAGCCTCATTGTAGGGGCCTGGGTGTTCATGCTCCCTGCCTACCATCCTCGGGGAAATGGGAGAGGTCCAGGTTGGAGATTACAATTTCCCTAGGCGGGTGGGAAGCGCTGGGCTGGGTTCCCTAGGGAGAGGTGGAATCTCCATCCCTAGAGGTTTTTAGGTCCCGGCTTGACCAAGCCCTGGCTGGGATGATTGAGTTGGGTTGGTCGTGCCTTGGGCAGGGGGCTGGACTTAATGACTCCTGAGGTCTCTTCCAGCTCTATGGTTCTATGAAGCAATGGATCTCGGCAGCCCCCTATTATCATAGGGCGAGTGTGTTAACGGGTCCCCATTCCTGGCCATCTCAGCATTTGGGAGTTTCACTCGAACACTGACCCATGGGGTCCTCACCCAAGGAATGGCAATGTCCCCTACAGAGCCTCCTTCCAGTTTACGAAGTATCCCAGAAAAATAACCACCCCAAAAGGACAGGCATTGGGATTGTTCCCGGTAGATGGTACCTTACAATCTAGCATCAGACTGTGCCTCAGTTTCCCCTTGCAGTCAGTTACTCACCAGTTCCGTCAGGTTGCTCAGTGACTTAGCCCTGCAGCTAAGCCCACCCTTTCTGGGGTCCACGTCCACTGTAAACCCAAACCCTCAGGACTTACCCTTTCCACCTGCCGGGGCCCAACCCTACCTCTACTCAAACTGCTACAGTGGCACAGCCTAGCCACGGGAGGGGATCTCCAGCCGCCGTGGGAATCCACCTCCCTGGAGGCGAGAGCAGAATCCTTCTCTTGTCCTAGCCCTGTCTACAAAGGGGGTCAGGTCAGCTGTCTGCATCACTGGGGGGGTCACGCCCTGGGCAACGTAGCCGGGTCAACAACATTTTAGTTGTTTTAAAGAGCCACCGCACCCTGTGACACCAGCATGAGAGTCCGTCTGCACGACAGAGACCAGACCGTAACCTCGTAGCATGGACGCCGCACACACCTCAGGACAGGGCACTTCTGTCACTTCAGGACACCCCCGCCCGACCATAGTTAGCCATGTCAGTGGAAGGCCTCTTCTACCGAGAGCTGCACCCGCACTGGCGGTTCTGTGGCACAGCTGCCCGGGCAGGGTGGGTTTTCACTTCCCTGGCCCGTGTAGCTGGGCAAGACGATACGTCCGCGTGCACTGTGGCTAGGGCACTACGCCAAGCACACGCGCCCTGACGAAATAGCCAAAATGAAGGAAGTGAATGTCAGCAGCACTTACCGCTTGGACTGGCACAGCCCTCTTGCGTAGGGGCTGTGCTGATCCAAGCCGCCAGTCTAGACACCGCTAGCTTGGCAGGAAAATGCCACTCTTCCATTGACAGAGTGTGACGTAGCGGGGGTACTTGCTGGGCTGTGGTGACCCCTGCTGTCTGGAGCAAGACCCAGCAGGGAAAACCTCACTATGCAAAGGTGATGCCAAACCTGTTGAACCAGACACCCCCCATGGAGAGGAACAAAGGAAGGGGGAATGCTGCCCTGGCTGGGGGGCAGGGCTGGAAGAGGGTTGGTTAGTTGCTGTCTGGAAGCATGGAGGAGACAGCCTAGGGAAAGGGGCTGGAGTTTAGGGGCCCAGTCTCCCCCCATCTCAAGGGGGCCGGAGGCATCCTAGCCCAGCTCTGTGACCAGATTCCATCTGTGCTGTGCTGTATCCTGGAGAGGCAATAAACTTCCTCTATTCCACCGGCTGGTGCGGTCT